CTTACTTGCACAAGTTCTGTACCATTTAAAGCGGTGAAAAACTTCTGACTACGACACGCGAAGGTCTATTAGATGTCATAGAGATACGTGGTCGCTTAAACGCTTGTTGTAAAGTAACCCTTGTAACGCTCATTTGGCTAAGTGTGATGATGGTTCTCTTTTTTTTAGACGGAATGAATGGTAGTTTAGGGTTGTTTCATGGGAGGATTGTTGAAGTTTGGTTGGAATTTTGGAGGTGAAGTTCTTTTGTACAGTTAACTTGGTTTGGAATTGAGATATGTGGTTTGTGGAGTTGAAGGTTTTTGGAAAGTTTGTAGGAGTTGCAGTAGATCAGGGGTTAAGAAGATTGAGTTGAATATGTATACAAAATTTTGAGTGTTTTAGGGAGGAATGGAATTGTTGAGTGTAGAGTTGAAGGTTTTCAGAAAGATTTAAGGCTAGTAGATTATGGGTTATAAAGGTTGAGTTGTTGATTGTGGATACAAATTTTTGAGTTTTTTTGGGGAGGAATGAAACTGTTGAGTGTGCAATTGATTAGAAGTTATGACAAGTTTGTCTTTGAAATGCAGTATTTCTATGGAGTTATATTTAATCACTAATTGTGAGAAAGATATTCATTGTATTTTTAAATTCATAATTTTAAATTTGAAATATTCATAGTTATTTTGTAGATTGACAAATTCGTGGAAATCACTGATACATTTTTTAATTAGTCATACTGCTATCAGCATGCACAGTAATAAATCAGCCTTTGTGATAAATGCTGTTTTTGCAATTAAAACAGTTATGCTTAATGGAAAACACTTAAATAAAATTGTCATCATTTGTATCATATAAACTAACAAATATCAAAATTATTTGAATAACTAAAATTGTACTATATCTCATAGAAATTAAATAAATTAAATTCTGAGGAAATATTGTGTTCAATAAATTTAGTGATATTATGGTATGTACTATTTTAGTTCTTAAAATATAGATTTACTGATTTCAATTTACCGAAGTCTGTAAAATTTTATTACCGTTTTATCGCTTTGAATTTAAATAAATTTAGTAGGAATTACACTTTATCGGACAATTAATACGTTAAATTCTATGAATATTTATGGGTGATAACTTTTAATTGGGGAATGTCTGAGTTTCATATTTCTATGAAACGCGTAAATGGCTTTTCCATCACCGAATCTACAGATAAGACACGTTTGACCATTAATGCTAAAACGACATCGTGTCTGATCACTTACGGGACACGAGGCGAAGTTCGTCATTCGTGTAAACACAAGTACAGAGAATATATTTACTATACACTTACTAGGAAACACTCTGAACACTTTTAAATTTCTCGTTCTTATGAAACGTTACATAACCAAGTTATCTAACATTGCAATACTTCGTCAGCGAAAATCTATATTCTCCTTTAACGTTAGAAATTGTTTAAATAAATTCTAAATCATTACAAATATTTATAAAATCATTTCACATTTGTTTTGAATTTTTCGAAATGCATAAAAACGTGAAATATCGCAATAGGCATCGCCAGAACATGTGTTCAACTCTTTGTTGTTACTCCCAAGATGGTGATGGGCACTTTTATTAAAAAGATTTCACATGAAATACGTAGAATGGGAATTTCAGAATTCTGTCATGCTGTTTCTGAAACACACGCCGTGCAATCTCGATTCTCCTTACGAAAACAAACAAAGAGCGTATGATTTGCATTTTAAAAGCAGCATGATTGAACGTGTGACTCACCTTTCTGTTGGCCCCGTTGAATAACTGGAGGATTCTTCGCCTGATTCAACGCTGTTGAAAGAAGTACAGTTCATCTTCCTTTCTTCCCACTGGGACCGAACTTCGTCTTGCACTCTACGTTTCAGTTCTTCCACTCTCCGCCTTTCTTCTGAAATTACTTGGCTACCTACAACAGTAAGAAAAACATGGTACGTCAATTTTCAAGAAAAATAAATCACTCGTGGTTAACTGGTGGAAACGGAAATACGTTGCATTGTACTTTCTACAAAATTATATAGAAATATTTCACACTGATTATATAGGGCATTTCATATGATTATTATTAGGAATAGAGAACAATTTTTACACATTCAATCCTTCAACAGTTTACAGTTATAAAAATTCATTCAATGCAGGAAAGAGAAATATAATCAAACCAGTCCAAAGGTATTCTTATACTTGTTTTATATGCATAGAAACAAAAAAGTATCTATTTCGAAAAAAACTTTCATAAACTTTAATATATTTTGAAATCCATTAAATTAGATTATTTTCCTGTAAAATACTTCCTTTATACGTATATAAATATTCTTAATTTGTACAATGAGTTTTTTACATAGAGATTTTAACATAGTTTTTTGCGTATAATATTGTATAAAAATACATAATCTGAACACGTAATTTCAAGTGAGAATGTTCACCTTGTTTCGCTAAATGGAGTTGTCGATTTCTCTCAATTTCCTTGAGGGACTCGATGGTCTTCCTTCCTAAGCTGCCCTGATTGTTTACAATAGGAGAGTCAGTAGTGACCCTGGAGATCCTGTCGAAGTCTTCCCTGCTCGGAGATCGCTTCTCTTCGCCGTTTTCGCAAGAATTTTGCGCCAACTTTGTCAGTTCATCGTTAATCGCCCTAACTCGGTTTCGACCCTATTACAATATCACGATGAAAAAGATTCATGAGCATTAAACACGTAAGATTTATATTTCCTCATTTTTCTAACTAGTAGTTTGTCACATGCCTGTAAGTATAATTGTAATTGTTACTAACTTCTTCCAACCGCTTTAAATGCGTCAATTTCTGTCTTTCGAGGCTTCTTGCATCTTTAGTCGCAGTGCTTTTCGCTTCAGATCTCTGCGATTCCAAATGACTCAATCGAGCCTTCCTGGTCTCTATTTTCACCGTTAGTTCGCTCAAGTATCTGAAACAAACATTTAACGCGTTAAATTTCCATAAATGAATTTGTTGAAAAAAGAGCATTGAAAGAAATACATAAATTAAACTTGAAATTGCAAAGGAATGAAGGAGTCCATTTTATACAATATAAAATTGAAATATATTAGAAAAGAATAACAGGATCTGTAACTATTTTACAGATTACAAAGACCAGGCAGAGCCATACTTAAAATATTAAAAAAAAAATAGTGAATATGTTTCACACCAGTAGTAATTTATATTAGAAAAACCATGATATTGATACTCAATATTTCTTTATAAATTAAACGATGAAACTTCAACAATAAATATTTACCACACACATATGAATAACAGAGAAGAATTCAAACGAATCTTCTCACATGGTAGTGCAGAAAAACAGAACTACCTTTGTAATTCTTCCCTTGTCGCCAGTTTACTCGCTTCCTCTTCCAGATGATGGAATTCCAAATCTTCGAAAGCCTTTCTTTCCGACTCAAGGATATCTTGTTGAGCTGTAAGTTTTTCACCGATATCTTGTTGCATTCTTTCATCCAAACAATTTGCGAGCTCTTCCTCCAAACGGTTGCAAGTTTGTTGAGCCCTCTGAACTCTTAGCTTTGCGTCCGCCTGCAAATTCGCCTGAGTCGTGTTATCCTCGGCCATCTGTCTCTCGAGCTCGTTTATCCGCATCTGTACTTTTATCTTTTCACCCTCGTCCTGACTGAGTTTCAACGATTCCGACTCGTACTCTGCAGACAGCAGTGCTTTCTCTAATTCGAGCTACCACAGAAAATACAAATTCGACCACGATTAGAAAATAATCACTCTGAATTTACATTGAAAGATAAATTTTAACAACCTGCTCTAAATTTTGTGTTGAAAACTTAGGTAAGAAGAAGAAGAAAACACGATTCCTCATATTCTCTCCTTAGACTTCACCGTTCTGAAGTGTTCAATGTAAGAATAATCAGCCACGACTGGTATAGGTCTTATCTGATCGCGAAATGCAGAAACGCAAACAAATTTAAACTGGAAGGCAAACTTAGATAAGGGAATAACGACTAGGTGCGCTGTTGATTATCCTTGACATCGAATACGCTATTTTTATCTTCAAATTCTAAGTCACGTTTGTGCCTCATTTTTATATTTATGAAAAATACTAACTCGTTGACAATTTCTATTTTACAATATTTTTTACGCTTCTCAAAGAAGAACAATACAAAGAAAACTATTTAAACTACACACCTCCCTACTAATCTCTTCTTCCTGGCTCTCAATAGCAGCGACGCTTCTCTTCAACACGTCCATGTTACTAAGAATATGCAGTTTCTCGTTCCGGAGGAACTCTATGTACTTCCTCCTGTCCTCTTCTTCCAGCTCTTTCCTCTCTTTGTCAGCTTTAGCCTCGTTCGACTTCGCGTTGTCCTTCTCTGAATTATTCTTCTTGGGAATCGTGCAAATTTCTTTGGATTTGGAAAGCATGGAAAGCTGCTCGATAGCCTCTAGAAGGTCGTCGTTCGATATAGCCAGCTTGTTCTCGATCATCTCGCACGAGTTCGACAGCTGGCCGTTCTTCTTTGGCATGGAATGATTGTTTTGATTGTTGTTCTGTACAGAATTGATCACAACGTTCTCGTACAAGCTCACGTTCCCGTTCATCGAGTTGTCGTAACCTCGCGAGCTTTTGCCCTGTTGACCGTTGATTCTTGCTCCATTCAATTGGATCGTTCCGTATGTGTCCTTCGTCGCGTCGTTCGTTTGAGTGTAACTGTTACCGTTGTTGTTCAACATGGAACCGTCGATGTTCTCGTAGCCAGAGCTACGAGCTTGCGAGATCGAACCGGAAAAACTATGGTCCCCGTTGCCAAGAACGTTTTGCCACATTGTTGGTTGATTGTTGTTGTTGTTCAGCGTCGGTGGTTGTGGATAATCAAATGTGCTCATCGGTTGGTTGTCCGATGGATTCGTCGTTTGTAGTCTACGATTCGTCGTTGAGTTACCGTTTTGAAATACTATTTTCGAATTTTGAACGCATACGTTCTCGTACGATGCTGAATTCGATTGTTTCGCGGCGTCGAAGGAGAAGTGAGGTTGATTCTTCGATGGACTCTTCGGGCTGTCGAAGGGGGAGTTGTAGCCTAATCGTTTATCTCGGGGTAGCGAACCGTTCGTTTTAATTCTGTGAAGGAAAATAAAGATGTAAATCTTAAACAACGTGGAAAGTTAAAGTTAGGTGTTTAATTATTTATGGATAATATTCTATGGGTAATATTCTCATTCACAAATTGATTATTCAAGTGATTACATCAATGTTGAAAAATTCTGAGTTTTTTGCATTAACTTTAAGTTCATACAATTCTTGGTAAATTACTACTAACAAATTTTAGAGTAATATTTCTTTGAATTCAAAAAACAATTTTCATTTCTCTTTGAAAAATTTCATATTGAACAGCCTAATATCATATGCTACATTAATATACAAAATGCAATCTCTCTACACATAAAACTGATTTACAATCTTCTCTCACTCGCTGACTAATTTAATTTCAGATACTTTATTTACAGTAAGAAGACTACTTTCAAGCATGGACTAAAAAACTACAATCTTCCAACGAATATGTAAATTATCTTACAGTTTACTATCAGTTAACCCTTTGACAGTTTAATATAATTATGAATCTTTTTAATAATTACGTCGTGTGTGATTATTTTTAAAGCACAGTGTACATAATCCTACGTCACAGTTCTGACAATAATATCTCGTCCCTTACCAATTTTCTTCCTAAAAGTCTCTCTCGAGTTAAACTGCTTGTTATTTAACGCACTGCTCGAGTCTCACTCGGGACAAACTGTCGAAGGGTTAAGATAAACTGTATCCATAACTCGTCGCAACAAGAAGAAAAATATAAAAACGAGAACTGTACGCCTACGTAGCACACGGGACTCGTGAACGGTGCGTGAAAAGAGGACGGTAAACATTTCGTGTCAAGCTTGAACCATCTTGCATGCAAATAACCCATTCACCTGTTAGGTTGCCTCGGCTTCTCCACGGCGTTCTGTCTCTCATACTCGGCGCACATCGCGAGGATCTCCTCCAGCCTCATTTTCTCCTGCCTCTCGACCTCCTGCTCCCTTAGCCTCTCCTCTTGTGCCAGCTTCCTCTTATTCTCCGCGTCTCTCCTCTTGTTCTCAGCGTCGATCTGTCTCTCCCTCAGCTCCTCCAGCGAGCAACCGCTTCCCGTGCTAGGAGTCGGACTCTTCACCCGTCCAAAGCTCCTCTTCGGCTCGTACTTAGGATTGCGATTGAACGCGGGACTAGGCGGCTGTATCCTCTTGATATTCGGATTCGAGCCGAAATCCTGCGCTCCAGCGACGTTCCTCAGGCTTCCTCCGCAAAAGTTCCCGTTACTCGGACTGTTACAAATGCTAGGATTCGAGCCGAACTTCTCCAACTGAAGATACTCCGTGGTCGTGGTCTTTGTCACGATTAAGCTCTGGCTCATATCGAACTCTCTGCCTGTCAGATCGTCCAGATTGTTCGATCTCTGACAGGTGAAACTGCGCGACATTAGGTCGCCTTGATTCACGTTGTTCTTCGACGCTGTTACACCATGAGGATTCTGAGTATTCTCGTTGTTGTTGTCGCGGTAGTAGGGCTTGTAAGACTTCAGGTAGGACTCTGCTGTCGAGTACATTTGAATCTGATTGTGGTTCGGCGGTGTGCTCTGGTAGGAAAGATTAGGCGTGTTGGATCTGCTGGGCGTTCTTGCGTCAGATCTTTGACGATTCTCATCGCTGTTGCGATTGTGGTTCGGCGGTGTGCTCTGGTAGGAAAGATTAGGCGTGTTGGATCTGCTGGGCGTTCTCGCGTCAGATCTTTGACGATTCTCATCGCTGTTGCAGTGATTGGGGGAGGAAGATGCGAAACAGGTGTTTAGCGAGGATGTGTTGAGGAAATGGGCAGGTGATGGTGAGTTGAACGAAGGTGTATTCGAACGACTTCGGTCTAGATTTGTTAAATTTTGTAACGGTGAATTGTTGTTGGCGTTTTTTAGTGAGATCAAACTGGAGGATCTTGAGTGACCGAGGATCTGATCGGCAGGAACGTTCGTGGTGACTGCACCAGCTGGAAACACCTTAGGAGAGACGCAGTTGTTTCTGTTTTGCTTCGACAGCATCTCGAATTTCGTTAGTTTTCCCAAGAAACCGATCTCGTCGTCTGAGCAGGAGTTTCTTGGTGATTTTCGTGGGGCGACTGGTGGTTTTCTCTCCAGGTGATAGTTTTCCTGGAGTTGGCTGTCTGGCAAGGAGAAGCTTATGGGAGCCATCGAGATTCTTGACTGTGGTAGCACCGATCGTAGTTGCTTCGCCTCGGCTGGATGATTGAAGCGCATGTAGTTGGATCTACCGATCGATAGCATGCAACCTGAAACAGTGGATGTGAATGTGAGATTGGTGGATAAATCGTTGGAAGGTAGTTTTTAATGATTCGTAGTATTATGGAAAATTTCAAACTGTGTTAATAATCATTTATTTATTACGAAGAATTTTGGTATTTGGGATTTGTAAATCTGACGAAAGAATTATTCCGTGAAACTGAAGATTAACGAACGAAAGAAGAAATTTTTTATTAAAGAAGTATTGATGCATTAAAAAATTACAAAATTTTTAATTTTCTTTGTAAAACTAACACTGCAAATTATTTTTTTCAGAGACTAAATAAGAAAGAAAGGAAGATCGTAATAATTCTTTTTCTACCATAAAATTCTTCGCATTTTGATACTTCAAGTACGAATTTCAAAATGAGTAAAATATCAAATACGTCGAATATAAATTCGGCGTTACGAATTAATTGTGTAGCGGCAGCACGAGAGGTCTGTGCTTGACCATTTATATTTGAGTCAAGGTCTTACCTTGAGCGAGTCTCACTGGTGAATTTATTGGTACACCATCGACTGCCGTGCTTCCATTTATGGGGTGAAGAGTGACCACGCCGTTATTGTTTTCAATCGCGCAATGAATGGGCTCGACGCCGGTACCAACGACAGAAATATCCGCATCCCGATTTGAACCAAGGGTTAACTTACCTAGGAAAAAATTATAAGGTATTCAATTTGTGAAATAATTCAAATAATTTCTGGTCAATCTTACGAAACATAAATTATATAAATAACGTAATATAAATTAAATTATACGATTGTATAAATAATTTGATTGAACACATTTTTTACGAAGACACTGTTTAAACAATTCCCCGAGTGTCGAGATCTGGAGGGCGCGTCGTTAAATTAGGCTACCGAGTAGCACATGCGCTACATCCGAGAATAATGTAGCAATTCTCTTTTCGAGAAACCTTCTAACTTGGAACGAAAGCATTTGCGGAACTGCGTTTCTACTTACACGCTTTCATCTTCAGAACTAACGGTCTTGGCACCCAAAGCTGCGCCAAACATTTCAGAGTTACATACCCTGTACAGGATGGATCACATAATCTGACCATATTTACCACTTTTCGTTGCCAGTGGACCGATCAAAATTTCTTTAGCACAGACGAGGAAGTTTCGAACCTTTGAGTCTTTTCTTTAAGTTTCTAAACTCGCATTTCAATTTTTTTACGTAATTTGAAAATTTATAGTAGACCGTGAATTAACGAGAAAAACTTATTATTCCGTTATTTGTTATTTTTGTTATTTTAATATTTGCGTGAGCAAAATAAGGTGATATTTTCAATCGTTATTTTTTTTCAATGCAATTTTCAGTGTTACAATTATTTTGGTATATTTATTACCTAATATAAGAATAATAATGGTAATTATTATTCTATAATATAGTAATTAAATTAGAACATGTATACAGAAATAAAGAATAGAAAACAGTTGTGGAACCAGAAGACGTTAAGTTTTTTCTTTTTTTTTTTTAATCAAATTTAAAGATTCCTTGAAAATAGTGAATATCGACTGATGGTATGACCCAATTACTACCATAAAAATGACTTATACCGACGACTTACATTGATGAAATTTTTCCCCGTTCGAAAAAGTCGAGAATTTTCAAATCACCTTTATTTCACCACGCGATCCAGAACTAGAGCGAGCTTTTTAAAGATTTCGCGAGAGTCGCCGCGTATTCAGCCTGCTTTCATGTTTATTAGAGCGTCATTTCTAACGCAGTCGAAATTGTAAAAGCTTTTCCCACCGAGCTTGTCCAATCGACGCTATCTCGAAACGCTATTTAACGCGGATTATGGTGGAGCGGAACATCGCATCTCCGCTCTTCGTGATTCCGTCGATAAATGGAATTCGTGTGGTTGCGCGTATTAGCAAATGCTTGCACGTAAATTCCTACCGTAGAACATCGCCGCGATTCGTTCTCGACGGGTTGCATTATGGGTTTGTGCAATTTAACAATGTGCTTGAATGAAGGAAGTCGAAGATGTTCAATGGCGCATTTGCTCGATTGGTCAATTAGCCGGCGCGCAAGGATGTTATGAATTACATGTCGAGCGGTGGTTAATTGGTGTTTTGTTGAATTAGAAAAATGACGTGGGATTGGGGTTAATTCGGCCAATATTGGATTAAACGGATATTGAAATTAATTTGTACTTTCAATTTTTTAGTCAGGCAGTGGCTTAATGTTGTTTGCTTTCGTTAGGAATATATTTAGAAAATGTGAGAAAAAAAGGATACTAGTGTGGAGGATTTGACGATTATTTGAAATTTTTTTGGAATTTTTTAAAATGCTGTTTGAGTGATTACAGATTTTTGAAGTTTCATCTGTGAATGTGAGAGAAAAGTGGAGTTTATATTTTGTATGGTTTTTTTTCAATTTTAATGTTTGCATTGCAAATGTGTTTAAAAAAATAAAGAAAATCTGACTATAGTAATTTCACATATCTTTTTAGAGTATAAAAAAAAGGAGGTGAGAATTATATTGTACAAAGATTTTCACTATTAAGCAAACTTAAGTTTTCAAAATTATAGTTTCAAAATCAATACAGAAACTCAAAATACGATATTGTAGTTAAATTCATTTCTAATCCTCAAATTTTCACCGCAACTTCTATCAAATCTATTCACCACTTCTATTAAAAAAAGAACACTAATTAAGTAAACTTCGACAATATCAAAAAAAAAAAAACGTGATATCGACATTACACGAAAACCATAGCAAATTGAAAAAATCTACTCAAGCCATCAAACTGTGCACAAAAAATAACGAAAGTTTGTCCTCTTCCATTTTCCTCGTAAATCTTCCACTTACGAGAAAAACACTGCAAACTGTAATATCACGAACACCCTATACATTTTTACCGATCTACGAAATTAACTTTTTCGAAGAAATGTAATTTACTTGTATAATGGGTGTCGTAATATTTACGAACATCAGCGACTATGTCTAACATGTTAATAAAAAAATCTACTCAAGCCATCACATTGTGCACAAAAAAGAACGAAACTTTCTCCTCTTCCGTTTCCCTCACAAATCTTCCACTTACTAAAAAAACGCTGTAAACTGTAATATCGCGAACACCCTGTATACTTTGACCGACGTAACTCGATTATTATCACAATTTCATCATATTATCACACTAACGTTACCGAAGAAATGCAATTTAAATCATACAATACTTTCTGCGCGAACGTAACGGGTGTCCCAATGATTACGCACCGCAGCGTGGTACGTCTAACATCTTTTGCTTGCTTGCGTAATCCAATCAAAGGAGCCAACACAGGATTTTGTTTATAGTTGAAAAGGAGGTACGCGAAAGTGAAGGAAAACTCGTGTAGTACCTTGCTATTAGATCTCTTCGATGTTGTTCTCGTAGCCGGAGGAATCGACGGGGGGGTCGAACGAACGAACGAAGTAACGAAAAATAGAAGCACACTTTTCGCCAGGATATTCTCCGTGAAAGGGTCCGACTCGATCATTAGCGCGAAATAGCTCCGCGTGTACGTGCACGCCGATCTGCGAGAACGGCGAGTAAATCGCGGTGCATTCTACAAAGGACTGCAGTTATATTTAGTTTTGGCGCGGTCGTGCACTCTCGCACATTTTCGGTCTTTTTGGAAAAGCTTCCACCACGCAACGTTCAAAATATACCTCGCGGCTGTGGGGTTAAGTCTCTTCGCCTACTTTACAAACAGCGGCGCGTTCAAATGTAGCATTTTTTTGGAGATTTCCTTCTTTTTTTTCTTTTTCGAGGATTATTTAGTCATCTTTGATCCCCAAAGTGTAAATATTTTGGATTCCGTGGAGGTGGAGGTAGCGACTAGTTGAGTGGATGTTTATCGAGGAGTTTGGTTGAATTTTTCCGATTTTTAGGTTAGGTTATGTAAATGCACGGTTGTGAAATTTTTACTTTATTATGGATGGAAAATATGCAATCTTTTTTACGATTATTTAGTCGTCTTTGATCCCCAAAATGTTTCTTTTGGATTCCATAAAGTTAGAGGTAGCGACAAGTCGAATAGTTATAAGAGAAAAATTTCATCATTTTGAGGATTTTAGTTGAATTTTTACAATTTTTAGGTATAACTTGCGAAATTTTCACTTTTTTATGCATACAAAATATGCAACATTCTTTTAGCTTTCATTTCTTTTCTTTTTGACGAATTCTTGGTTATGTCCCTTTTAGGTTATGTATCGTAGCATTTTGTTGAAAAGATGGAAGATGAAACTGTAGGTGGTTCACTTCGAAACTTTGTAGCAAGTTGTGAATGTTAATAGTGTACAGATTTGTAAAAGCTTCCGATATCCTCTCTTATTGCAAATGAGGCAATGTGAAGTATAATTTATTGTTGTTAGAAAAAAAATTTTTGAAAATGGTCCATTGTCAAAAGTTGATTCAAACATAAAATACCAAAATTATGTAACTTTCTTTAACAAATAATTTATCACGAAACCAAACAATTTGTTAACAAATGTAAATTAGCAATGGAGATTTTTTTAATTCGTTTAAATGATCAAGTTGCTGGAAGCATCACGCAAATAGCCTGCTCTTCCGCGATCCAAATCTCGAAAACACGGACGTTTGAAACAAAACGAGTTTCGCTCGCATTTGAGCACTTCTAACAGGAACGGCCGTATCTGCATTCCGACTCTAGCTTCGCAGTATTGAATTAACAAAATTGACGGTGTTACGTAACACTGGATAAATCCGAGCGATATAGCGGCAGCGATTCCGACAAGAATCTATGTAATTACACCGTGACCAGCCGATTACATCGTCAATCTATAGATAATACAAACTGTAATTTCAGCATCCCTAATAGAATATCATTTTATAAAAGGATGAACAGTAAACGATTACTATTATAATAAAAAATTAATGCAAACTTTAATAAATAATAAAAATTACACGGTAATAAATATTA